TTATTTTTATTTATTACATTTATTTATTGTGTGTGTGTATGTGGCCAGCTCAGCCCACCAGGGGGCGGGGCTGGCTGGCATGTGGTGCTGGAGGATTGAACCGCGGTCCTTGTGCTTTGCCAAGCTTGTTTCAAGTAGGTGCTTTAGACCACTGAGCCATCTCTCCAGCCCCTCCACACCTTTAACCTGTCAGTAAGTAACAGGTGATCTGAATCAGGAAATAGGCACTTATGAAAAAATAGAGAAAGAAAAGCCAAATGATAACTTTCAGAATAAGGACAAAAAATATTTTAGGCTGTGTTGCCTATGATGGACCTTAACCTTGAGATTGTTTGTTCTATAGACAATAATCTTACATTTCATATACCGTAAAAAGATGTATGCATGCTAATATTTAAAAATATAGGCAAATTTAGCCTTCACAGGGTTATTATTGTTGCTTTCAAAAGCTACTGAGTTAGACTTCAGTATTAGTGAATTAAGTTTTTCTGTGTTTACCTGATACTTGTTAGATCTTAAATGAGAATGTAAGCGTTAAAATTTGATTGTATAAAACTACAATAATGAAAAACTCAGTGAATTTGAATTATTTTGATCTTTTAAAATTATTTTAAGCTAAGTTTTAAAGATTACGAAGACTTTTGGAGGGGCTGGAGAGATGGCTCAGTGGTCTAAAGCACCTACTTGGAACAAGCTAAGCTAAGCAAAGCACAGGGACCGCGGTTCGATCCCCCAGCACCACATGCCAGCCAGCCGCGCCCCCTGGTGGGCTGAGCTGGCCACACACACACACACACACACACACACACAATAAATAAATGTTTAAAAAAATTATAAAAAAAAAACAAAGACTTTTGGAAATAAGAGAAAATAATAAGCAATTCTATTTTCTTAACTTATTGATTACTATCATTTTTTATGTCTTTTGTCCTTTTCCTTTTTTTTTTTTCTTTTTTTTTTGTAGTACCGGGGATTGAACTCAGGGTCCTGCATTTGCCAGGCAAGTGCTTATTCTACTGAGCCATCTCCCTGGCCCTAGAATTTTTTTTTTTTTTTTTTTTTTTTTTTTTTTCTCCGAATGCCTTCAGGGCAGGTTTGGCTGGCTTGAGTCGTGGGGATCGAACCACAGCAACCTGAGCCTGATTGCTTTGTTGAAGCAGCCACTTAAAGAACTGAGCTAAGAGGCAAGCCCCCTAGAAATATTTTTAAACGTAAGCACGATATTATTTTCACACTCAAAATTCATGACAGTGTAATTGTTTACATTTTCTTGTTTTTATTATCTGTAGCATTTTAAAACTTTGGGGTTGGCCCAAAGGAAACTTCTGAGTCAGTAGTTCCATTCCCAGAGGTTATCCCTGTTGGGATTTCTGTCACTTGTAGATTTGTTCTTAGAAGCAGAGCCATACACAGCCCCGTAGCATCTTTTTCTTTCCAATTAATGTGAAATTGATGAAATTTATCTTTGTCACATTATCAATAGTTTATTTTTAGTTGCTATGTAATATTTCATTCTCTTGTTTTGAAGGTTATTTTCATTTTTTCTTGACTAAGTTTCTTGTTTATTTTATTTTTTTTGTGCATTTTGTACAGGGTCTCACTGTGCAGCTCAGACTTGTAGTGATCCTCCTGTTTTCAGCCTCCCCAGCCCTGGAATTACAGGTGTGCCCCACCACACCTGGTCTTGGTGGCCAGCTCAGGGCATCTGGGGGCGGGGCTGACTGTGGTGCTGGGGATCGAACCCTGGTCCCTGTGCTTGCCTAGGCATTTGCTTAGTCCACTGAGCTATCTCATTGGCCCTTCTTGGTACATTCTAAATATACATGATCACATGCATCAAAAGAGAATTTGTACCTATATGTGATATATCTTCATTCTTTTTTCTCATTCCCTTCCCTTAAGCCCCTCTTCCCTTCCTCATTTATGAGAGTTTTGTTTCTTTCTTTCTTTTTTTTTTTTCTCATTTTCTCTCTTTTTTAAAACTTTGGGGTAATGTTTTCTTTTTTTTATTATTATTATTTATTTATTTGTGTGTGTGTGGCCAGCTCAGTCCACCAGGGGGTGGGGCTGGCTGGCATGTGGTGCTGGGGGATTGAACCGTGGTCCATGTGTGTTGCTAAGCTTGT